GTCCTCCTGTTAAGTTGTTCTAGAAACAATCAGCATATCTCTAGGTGCATGTGCATTTGTGTGTGGGTGCATGAATATGTATGGGTATGGGTTTATATGAGTGTATGAATACATATGTATATATGTATGAATGCATGTATATAAGCAATGCCTCAAGTTGAGCTAATCTTCTAATGGCTACATGAACATGCCCATAATTTTTTTTTTTTTTTTGCACAGATGTACAAAAGCAATAACTATCACTGAATATTTGTGATCATGGGCATTTAAAGAAATCAAATTGCTACAGAAACACTATTAAGCACTGCATGGTGATTCATTACTATCTGAACTCTGTGCAACTTCATCTTTCTAAATTCAGCTAAAGTATTTATATGAAAACACAGTGAGATGACAGGAATACCTGAAAATGCAAAGTATACTGATTTTTTTAAATCCAGAATTTGGATCATTTATTTGGGTATCATTTGTGGATCCCCATATAAAATCTGAAGGATGCTTAATTTATTCTGGAAAGGAAATAAATCTTGTACAATGTTTTGACTTTGATTTAATGTACATGATATCTGTTTTGTTTTAAAGCAATCACTTTCCATCTGTCTTGGAGCAGTAGGGGTTGCTGTCCTGAGCTTTTTCCCTCCTCTTCCTCCCCCCATCTCCCAGCAGCTGTCTTAATATAGCAACTAACAGAAAGTCAGAAGGTATGCAACACTAACCCTACCTCCCCAGGCATCAACAGCTGTAAAGTTGGATTGCACTTTTAAGCATGATTTTATGTAATATGTATTTTAGTCTAATTGCCTCTTAAATGTGGAAAAGATTAGATCAGGCTGGGCTAACTTGACCTGGTATAAACACCAAATGGAAATTTCAATTTAACTACATCACTAAATTACCCTTTAAATATAATGTACACCATCATTGTACATCAGGGTTCCAAGTCTTCTAAAATTAGTCATTGGTCAATCTATTTGGAATCAGTGGAACAGATTAAGTAACTAAATACTAACGTGGGAGTATGCTTTCATTAAATTGAGTGAGGGTTACCTCCATATAATGAACAGCCTCAGATTCGTATATTTTACATAAACGTACATGGAGAAAAGACAATAATCTGTCCTTTTTTTCTGTTTCATAGGCTTCTGTGATATGACTTTGATACTCTGAACACACTTTGATAATCTGATTACAAGATTTTCCTGAACAAAGCTTCTTCTCTTAATTCTGTAGTGACCATGGCCGTTCTTAAAGTAAAATTCACCAAAATCAAGCGAGACAAGCTGGCTCAAATCCTATGGATTCTCAACTGGTTTTCTGTGATATCTGGTACAGTTGTGTTCAGTCTTGGACTCTTCTTAAAGATCGAAATAAGAAAACGCAAGGAAGTGATAGCAAAATGGGATATTAACTCTGTTCCAAATACTTTAATTTCTATTGGAGCCATAGTTTGCATGATCAACTTTTTTGGAGGTAAAATATGTTATGACTGCACGGATGCCAATAAATTTAACCGCTGGAAGCTGATCATGTTCCCTTATATTGTATGCACTCTCTGTTTTACCTTCTGCATTTTTGTGGGTGCTATTATGTGCTATACTACAAGAAATGAATTAGAAGAATCTCTATATCTGGGATTGAGAAATGCTATTAAATTCTATAAAGATACAGACATTCCTGGAAGATGCTTTTTGAAGAGAACTATAGACACTTTGCAGATCAGATTCCAGTGCTGTGGAAACAATGATTTTAGAGATTGGTTTGAAATTCAGTGGGTATCACCTCGTTATCTGGATATGACTTCAGAGGATGTTCTAGAGTAAGTATTAATGTCCTCTCATGAAATGAACTTGAACCTAGGCTTCAGAATGACCAAGGAGACTGTGATGCCCCTGGTGGAGACTGACTCTGAGGGAGAGGAGGAACAGCTGACAGGGAGTGGAAGTGTGGCTCCAGAGGTTGTGGAGGAGGCTGGGGAAGGGCAGAAGCCAGCTGAGCAGTCAGAGGAGGACCCAGGCCCATCCCTATCCATCCTAAGGCACGCAGGGAGGAGAGGATAAGGGAAAGACATGGTCTACTCGGGAGGAGAGAGCCTTGATCCTCTTCATGGGCTGCAGGTGTGAGAACTGCATAAGAGTTTGGACCTGCATTCTGGCAAACGCTGGAGACAAAGCATGTTTTATTTTGGTTTGAGGTTATCTTGGTTGGCATCTTTCCAACAGACCATGCCTTGTTATCTCCTTGAATTTGGTAAATACTAATCCTGTTCCGTTGTGGAAATTTCATCATTGTAGTTTGTTTGGTTTTTATTTTGACTTCTATCTGCTCATTAAATTCGGACTTTATTGCTTTCTTTTGAAGACTATTTTTGAGTACGTTTTACCTCCAACTGAGAATTATTGAACAGTGGGGCTAAGTTGGAGGCATTAAAGGACATTTATTTACGTTTTGGATTTTGTTACATTTGTGTTATACTCTGGGTCATCACAGAGACTGACTAGATCAGCGGTCCACAACTTTTGCGGCTTGGCGGCCCAGCTAGGTTGGGGAGGGCAACCAGGTTGAGCAAGCAATGGGCTAACACACGCGCATTTGGAACCGGGCCACTGCTCAAATGGCCCGGTTCCAAATAGGCCACAGCCCGGTAGTGGGCCACAACCTGGGGTTGGAGACCCCTGAACTAGATGAGGGGGAGCCTGAAAGGTATGTGTTTTGCTTGAGAAAAGTTACAGAGAGAAAATCTATACAGTACTGTCAAATAACTAAAGATGTCATCTCAAATATGGAGCCGATTTCTCATTTGTTCAAGAGGGAAAGAACTAGGCCAGTAAGTGAAAATGGCAAGAAACCAATTCAGCTTTAACATTAGACGAAACATCTGAGAGGCCAGGTTTCTGAAACATGGCAAACTGTTCAGTAATAGACCTCAGTCCATTCCATACTTCTGAAGTATTGAGTAATCTGTAGATATATCCCACACTGAAAATTCAAAATTGAGCAAAATATTGGATTGCATTATGGATGCAGAACATTCTCACATCAAGAGCTGCTCTTGATTTTTGTACAGTAAGCTGGATAGCAGTGCTCCAAAGACAGGGCCAGGACAATACTAAATTTAATTTAAAGTAAATAAATATATTTTGTATGATTACCTACCATGTATTTAACAGTTTACCCTTTCTATCATATTAAAAATGAAAATTCAGTAACTTAGGAAGGGCCCTGCGGATTACCTTCATGTAAAAATGAATCCTGCAGATTTATCTATAAGCCAGCTCTGGTGGCCTAGAGGTGGAGTTCTTGCATCACAATCAGGAGGCTATGAGTTTGATCCTAGGTAAAGGCTAATATTTGGAATAGACTCTCCTGCTCAAGTAAGGTGTTGGGCTAGATGGCCTCCAAAGTCCCTTCAACTCTTTGGGAGCCATATACATTTGGGTAGCCTAATTCTGGGCACAGAATTCTCTTAACTAAGTTAGATGATCTCTAGAATGTCTTCCAAATCAGAATAAAAGTGGAATGATAAAAGCTGTCTTTTCTAAATATCACATTTAATAATTTAGCAATTAATTTTAGCATAAAAGCATTTTTTCCTTCAAAGTTCTATAACAAAGTAAAATCTACAACTTTAAGCAGCCTGTTCTGGAAATAGTTGACAATTAGCTATTTTGGGAGATTCCAATGGGAGAGGTCAAGTGGTGAGGTTTTTTTAAAAAGATTTTGTTTTTTAAAAAGTACATTCAACCGAGTTTAGGAATTGCACTGCAGTTGTAATCTATTGACATTTCTGAGTGTTTCCCAATTGAAAATGGCAGGAAAATGTGCTGCCAATTTTCAGCAATTGTACTCTTCTATACATGCTGTTTTATGATACTAATTAGGAATATATGCCCAAGGGGAAGAGTGAGCCTTTGTCCTAAACAGAACATAGGTATTACCTGACAGCATCTCTTGAGATCTGCTAGGAGACAATCCACCTGATTTCATATCTACCTCTCTTTATCAATTGATTCCTTCTTCCTGAATGTTGTTTGCATTTGATTCCTCTGCCACATCAGGGGAAAAATCTTTCCTGCTTTGCCAGCCATCACTTTGGGCAAAATTATAACCATCGGGTAAATACTTGAGTTCAAGTCTACCATCAAAGGATGGCATCTCTAGAAAACAGAACATGCCTTTATGCATTTCTGCAGGGAAGGTTGATTTGGATTACTTAGTGAACTCATACAAAATCTAAGTGGTTAATTCAGGGAACACTAGAGAGCAACCAGAACTTTTCCTTCCAACAAAATGCAGTGAACCACTAAATTTTAATCCTCGTGTTTGAATTATTAGCCTTTCTTACACATCTCTCTTCCCCACCCCATCTTATTCCAGCCGCCTAAAAAGTAATATTGATGGGAAATTCTTGGTGGATGGAGTCCCCTTCAGTTGTTGCAATCCTAACTCGCCCCGGCCCTGTATCCAGTACCAGCTCACAAACAACACTGCTCACTACAGTTATGATTTTATGACAGAAGAACTTAATATCTGGATGAAAGGATGCAGGGAAGCCCTTCTGGATTATTACACTGACATCATGAGATCCATCGGCATCACCACATTTGTCATTTGGGTGTTTGAGGTAAAACTGCATTTACTGAAGTGTTCCTTTCATAAAGGTACAAAAGATGCAACAGCTTACTATGGAGTGAATGATTGGTGAATACGATATACCACTAAAAATATTGCTGAATGCATGCAATCTTCTCAAGAGTACCGATAATTTGCAATTAAAAGAAAAATAGAATTAAAGCAGGAACCCTTTCCCCCTCTCCCATCCTACTAAAGATATTGTTTGAATCTTGCTTTCCATACGAATGTATATGTTTATGATACAGAGACTCCAGTCAAGCTCTAAATTAAATGATTGGAAAAGCAAACTGGCATCTGGGAAGAAAGCTTACATATCAGGTCTGTTCCCAGCATCAGAAATGGTATGGAACAGTTTTTATTATGTGCTATGAAATCCAAATAACAAAATTATTATTCAATGGAACCTAATGATCTGAGCAAGTGAAAAAAAAAAGATAGTTCGGATGAAAATATTCTATTTATAGTGGCTTCTCAAGGATATTTGGAACTCTTCTCTGAACTGCTAATCTGAAAAAATTAGAAAACAGAATAAAATAGAATTAGGAGCATAATGTTTCTGCCTTTTTATAGTTTCCATCATCAATTATTCCATAGTTTAAAGGAAAAATTGCAGGCTGTGATTAATAAATGTTTTTAGACCCAATACAACCAAAAGCAAGTGATTCCAATAGAAGAGATGTGTATGTATGTATCTCAGGGTTAAACTGTGAAGCCTTGGTTCTCTTAAAAGCTCGACATTGATTCCCTTTTCAGCCTTTTCTCACAGCAGGTAATTAAGGTGAGGTAATCTTGAGTTTCTCACTCACTCCTCCCTTCCAGGGCCAAGCTAATGTTTATGTACAAGCTCAATCCTGGCAGCACCACTGCTAATGTGATTTAAAGGGTGCACTATGAACGTCTTAAATGGCCTCTAGTGCATATATTCAGTAAATATTATTTAGCGACACTGGGAGGCTGTAGCCAAAAGTGTTAAGAATTACAGTATTTCTCAGATTAAACAACAACCCATCAGTGAAATGGTTTTGTGTACAGAAAGAACAAGAGAGTGCCCAAGCAGAATGAATCAGGAAGAAAGAATGGTATGTTACATCTCTCAATACCATTAAGGTTGGTGAAAGATGGATTCAGAAGGAAAGGGTTAGCCCGAATCCTTCTGGTTAGAAGATAGGACTTAAGACTCTTCATGTTTTCATGTGGAGAAAAACCTCCCCTTCAATCTTTAGGTTTGCCTTCTAGAAACAGCGAGGCTTTTTTCATGTTACATTCATGCAATTTTTAAAAACCAAATCTTTAAAAATCAAAAGTGTCTCAATTTAAGTGCCAGCTAAAGCTTTTCACATCAAATAAATTAACTGGTCCAAAATCAAAGGAGAAATTTTTAAAATTCAAGCACATGGTGGTCATCCCCACCAAACTCTTAAATTCTGTGTTGTGGTGCACTATAATTAGTGGAATCGCAACTCTCTTAATTTTCCGCTCATTTGAATTATTTTTTCTTCAGCTACTGGTCCTCCTTGGAGTTCGTTATCTTCAAACATCAATGAGGAACCTTCTTCTACAGGCGGATCCACTCTGTGATTCTGATGGCTGGTTATTTGAAAACAGTTTTGTGGAAACTGCCATGTGGAACATCAACAAAATTAAACATCTTGGCAACGGGAACCAAATATCCAGTGTTTTGGATAATTCTAATATGAATGTTTGCACTGCAAACCACAATTCAGAAAATGCTCCTCCCAAATATATCCCTGCAGCTTAATTGAATATAATACTAAAGACTTGGCAACTGCATCACAATGTACAAGTAATATGGCTGCCAACCTAGCAAAGCAGAAAGAGGCAGTCAGTTTGTATGTTGTGCTATGCCCTTGCTGTGTCATACATCAGTTTGCTTGCTTGCTTTTGTTCCTCCCCACCTTAGAAATTCATTTTGACTCTCAATCCTTAAAGAGATGGTGTTGGACCAGGGGTGGGATTCAGTGTTTTTAACCACCAGTTCTGTGGGCGTGCCTTAGTTGGTGGGCGTGGCTTGGTGGTAATGTGACTGGCTGGGCATAGCCAACTCCACATCACTCACATCGAGGCACGCATCTCCTCGTCTGGCCTCTCGTGACTGTGGGGATGCTGCAATAATTGTAAGTGTGAAAAATGGTTATAAGTCACTTTTTTCAGTGCCATTGTAACTTTGAATGGTCACTCCACACAAGCAAAGTACCAGCAAAGAAGGGGGAAAAAACTCCAGAGAAGTTCCAGAGACAGGAAGTCTAAGCCTGCCAAAAATGTAAAAGGGGTTAATGGAGAGGCAGTTTCTGTAAGCAACACCAGAATGTTTCCTTCCTGCCTTCCTTACAGGATTAGGCCAGTAATTTCTTCTAACAACCGGTTCTAGCGAATAGTGCAAACCTGTAGAATCCCATCTGTGTTGGACTAATAACAGAATAAAAAGAGTACAAAGCAGCACTTGGCACTCTGGAAATAATCTTAACAGTGAAGGGAATGGTGATTGTTGAGGTGGTTGCCACTCTTGAAAGACCATCATTATTAGAGAGGTCTAACCAAAACAATTTTGAGCACAGTGTTTGAAATAATGTCTATAAACATGGTAACTCTTCTTATGTAAATTTTCAGTATAAGTGAATATCTGGGATATCAAGTATAAAGAATAACATCAGATGAATTACTATTGGTTATCTTATAACACTTGCACTACTATGAGCATCTAGTCCAGGGGTGGGAAGAAGGAAATCTATAACTCATTGCCAATTTCTTTTTGGCCATCTGTTGCCTAAAGTTGTGGGAAATTTGTAAATATAGATGATTCATTTGAACATTTTGTTTAAGAAGAATATATTCAGAATCAAGTAACTATACTTAGTAAGAAATTTACCTAAGTACTCTTTGTAAAATTAAAGTATTTATCCTTAGAACATTAGTTATGTTAATTGGCTTGAGTTATATATGGGATAAAAGTTGGCATAAAAATATTAAAACAAAAACAAACTAAACCCTGATGGTAATTTAAAAGGCATGTAGTTTAGCCCTACTCTTAGCTTTCCACTAAAGGGGTCATCAGGCCCAGAGATTTATTTTTTAGAGAGACAAAAACATTCAAACTGCAATTCTTGTTCCAATTATTAAATCAAAAGTCACTGATGACATTAGCAAGGCAAGTATAAAAGATGCAGCAGCATCTGTTTTGGTAACAGAAATAATTTAATGAAGATTTCTAGTATTATTTTTCTCTATATATGGGATGCAATTGTAAGAATAATACTTTTTAATCTGGTTATGCATGGAAATTATCCATTACACTCAAGGGCCATATTATTGAAAAATGAAAAAAAGTAATTAGGGATTACAATCCCTGCCTGAACCAAGAGGATCACTTGGCCATTGAAAACCTAGCTTTCAGCACATGCAAAATCCAGCATCTGATTTACATGCGTTGATTTGCCTCACTTAGTGTTTTTTCCCAATATTTCACAGTCCCATGTGTGAACGGCACTGAAAATACTGTCATCTGAACTACGTCTCTGTTGTGTTCTGTCAGGCCTTGGGAAATAAGTCTGAGCGTGAGAAATGAGTATAAATTTACTGGAGAAATTTTTTAAATCTGGGTTGCTTTTTGTAGCATGGGATTCTTATAGTCACAGTAGTTAATGGGTCATAACAAGTTGAAACTCTGAGGCAGAGAAGAGATACTATAACTGAGGCCTTGATGTGGTCTCTCCCTTTTCTTGGCTTTTTTCTTTAAGGGGCAGTTTCTCTTCCATCCTGCAAGTTCCTACAGAACAGGCATACTTCATATCCAAAATGTGTATGCCAGCCAGAGTCCATATTGAGTTAGGTGGCCTTATAGAGATATTCCATTTTCTTTTACTATTCCTTAAGTTCCTATGAACTAATTTAATGTTTTTATTACTTAGATTAACATTAGACAGAAAGTCGACAGTAGGCATCTTTTTATCTGGCAGTGAGAAAAATCTGAGTTTGCATTACAGGCACAAACAGAAAAAACCCTCTCCTTTTATTTTTTATTATATTTTTAAAAGAAGAAAGTAGGTAATGTTTAAATTTACATTACAATATAACATTTGGTACATATATTAAGGATTCCTTTTAGCATGGATTTTGTTTTGTGAATTATTTTATGAATAACCTTACTATTTTACAAATATAATGATCTGAAATATTGTTATGCTTGTTGTGTACAGTATAAAAATGTTATTAGACTATGTGTGGTAGATATGAGGTTATGAGGGTACCTTCTGAATAATGTATTCATTATTTTTGTTCAATTATAATGTATAATATAGATTTTCAATCCCTCTTAAGAACTAATTTAGTCTGAAATTTGTTGGGCAATACAAATAAAGACTACTTGCAATAAGAAATGGATTTTTTTTCATTCTTGTTTTCCTGCAGTGCAGTTCCTTCCCATTTTGGGATAGACCAAGAACAAAGCATTTAATTTTTGATATAAGTTGAAGCTAACTGGAAGAGCTCAGAATTAACAAGTTAACCTGCACTAACACATTCTCATTCTGAAAGGGTTCACAATAAACCTTAACTTCCTTTCCATTACTTTGCCATTATACTTTGTGTAGTGCTTCACCCTTAGGTTGTTATAATGCTGCTCCCAATGATAAGCCAGGGACAAAGCCAGTTACAGATTACACTTATTTTGAGAGCTGCTATACTAAAAGAGAAAACAGAAGCAACTAATGTGATAAGAGGAGATTAAATCACTTTGTTCTCATATCCAGATGCACTGAAACTATGTATGTGTTTAGAACTGCTGCTGCAAAAGAATGAAAATACTGTTGATTGTTTTTAATTTGGTTAAGGGACAAGGTCAGCTTACTGATGATCCAGACAGTTCTGCTTTTGATCTTTCAGCATTCATATTTGGGAAGTTGTATGCATGCATCGTTTTTTCTAACCAAATTCAAGCCCACAAGTTTCAGTAAGCAGATGTGGGTTAGTTATTTTCCTTAAACTAAGATTCTTCATATTCTTTGTGTGATGTTTTACAGGTGAGGTGTTGGCAATTTAGTCTCAAAGAAGTTGAAACTCAGAGCAGGTGCCAATTAAATCCCAAAAAGACGTGATTAGTTTCCTGGCTTCGAGCAATTTCTTCTATGATGCAGTGTTGTCGCCACAACAAATGGAGCTTCCGGTATCGTTCGTGAGACAGGTGCAGAGGATTGCCTCTTCTTCAAAGAGAAATAAAAATACAATTATTGAGGTTTAAAAAATAATATTTAGCAGCATTTTATTTTATCTGCTCAGATATATCTCCCATCATGAAGGAATATAGATGTGGAAGGGACCATTCAGGCCAACTAATTCAACCAGTTAAAAATCTCTGACAGATGGCTGTTTATCAGTCCCTTTTGGCTCAGGAAAAACCCATCAACTTGCTGGATAATTGGTTCCACTGCTAGTTAATTCACAGAAAAATATTTGGGAGCAGCAGCGTCAAGCACAAGTCTAACCTCAAATTTTCACTAGCAAAAAAGTTTCTACTGCTCAGCAAATTAAGTGACATGTTACCGACACTTTTAGGACACAGTAAGAATTAATCTAAATAAAAATATGAAGAAAAAAACTAGCATCCAATGGAGATACAGCTTCTTACAAAATAAAAAGAAAACAGCAACTTACATCAGATTTGGATCGGTTTCTCCATATTCATCTAGATAAGGTGTAGGATAGAAAGAACCTCTATTTTTGCCACCGATCAGCAGAACCCTGCAGTCTCTGATTCTTAAGGAGAAAATAGGAAAATATTTTTTGAAAAAATCTGAAAGCTAACCGAAATTTCCTGGCAGGCTTAGTACAAAATATTAAGAATGTGCAAACAAAGATCGCATCTAAAGAAAGTCCACGGACAATTTTCCAACTTATTTTTCTCTGCCAGCTAGCATAGCCACCTGTTCCACTATTCCCAAGGACCACAGTTTTGTTAAGACATTGGCAATCCCGCCCACCCGCAGATAAACACTAGTATCTTCTCTGAATACTATAAAGCAGTGTTTCTCAACCTTAGCAACTTTCAAATGTCTGGACTTCAACTCCCAGAATTCCTCAGCCAGCTTGGGCATATCAGAAAGTTGCTAAGGTTGAGAAACATTGCTCTAAGATTCCTTCTTAGTGAAGACACAATCCAATTTCAGGAATCATTCCGGTCTTTGTTAACTGTACTACAATCCATCCAAACTGGCCGCTTATCCCTCCACGAATAAAAAAAAAAAGCAGAACAATTATTTTTACCCACTTCCTTCCTTGAGGCTGGGTGCTATTCTCCAATATATCTGGCCTGCACAATATTGGGAATCCATTGCCATGCCCCAATTACTTTAGATTAGCT